CCTGCAGTGCCACCATCCGTTTATATACAACGGCCGGTCAGGAAGTGGTTAAACACACAAACACAGTTTTTGACAAGTCTTTTATTAAAAAAATAATAAACATGTCCCCAGAGATAAATCCATTGTCAATCACGCCCACTGACCTGCACAGAAAAAAAAGGCTGACAGCTGTTTACATCCGCACCAGGCACTGACACTTGATGAATGACAGCTGCTTTCTCCCCCCCCCCCGCCACCAAGTAAACATGGAAGTGGAATCACCTAGTGACATCACTGAGTGACCTCACCCCCATGATGTCACTCTGAGACCTCGCCTCATGACATCATGGGGGACACATGTTGAGGGCATGTGTCCTGGTATAATTCGGGGGGGCGATGAATTATTCACCCCTTTTATGGCGCGCAGGACTGCATGCTCGGATAAGGGTGTAGTATGACATTTAGAGGGACCCCACACCATTTTTTTTGTGTGGGGTTCCTCTTAAAATCGATACCAAACCAAAGGGTCTGGTATGGATTTTTGGGGGACCCCACACATTTGTTTTGGGGGGATTTGGCATGGAATCCCCTTTAAAATCCATACCAGACCCATAGGACCTGGCATGAGTTGGGGAGGACCCCCACACTGTTTTTTTTAATGCCATCTCCTTTGTTAATATTAAGCTGGGTATCCCCTCTGACAGCAGCAATGACTCACCAATATTAGGAATCTGAGGTGCCGACTCCTTAACAAACCATAACTCATTCCTGCTGTTGACAGCAGGGTTGACTCATCATTGTTAAGATGCTGGCGGTTGTCAGCTCCTTACTCATCCCAGCCTGCTCCTAACAACCAAAGCACAGCAAACTTTAGTAGGAAAAAAAAAAAAAAAAGAGGGGAAAAAATGCGCTGGAACACTTAAAAACACATCAAATTTTACCACAAAATGCATGTAAGCATGCAGAAATGCATCTGGGATGCATCTGGACTGTGTTTACCCACATAACCTACTATCCATACGTTTGTGATGCAAAAAAAATACGCACTGGGCCGCATTTGGTATAAACTGTCCCTAAAATGAACCGGATGGTATACTTGCCTGGACCCCATTTTCTGCTCATGTTGCCTAGGCGAGGATGACGTCATACTCCTCACGGCTAGATCCTGGGAAATAAATAATTTCATGAAAAGATACTCTTCAAATTGACTGCAATTTCTTCTATCACAATTCCTGCATTCCCTATATGAATAGGGATGAGATTCAGGTTCACCGATACCATGGGTTAGAGGCAAATCCTGTGGGTTTGGGATTCATGGTTCTGGGATTTTTTGTGCAGACTCTTGAATACAGAGAGAGTAGAGTCAGTTAGGAAACTGTACTTTAAAGCGTCAGTATTAAATGGTTTGTCTCAACCCTCTAACTGACACTTTTGCTGGACAGCTTGGTCTGTGAACTGAGATTAAAAAATAACAGACTTTCTGGAAGGATCACCATGTGAAAGTGTAGTGAAAAAGGCATAAAAAGAAAACTAATGCAGTCACCAAATTTAAGAATTGGTAAGGCACAATATTTTACATTTTGGTTTTTGGGTTTAATACCACTTTATTTCTGATTACTAGCTGTTTGGGCAATCAACCCTTTTGCCTTTTTTGTTTTTATTTTTTTATTGGGTATTTTTTATCTTTCAATTTACCTTGTGGTTGATTTAGGGTCAGTGATCACTTTTAGCTGCTGTACCTGCTGTACCATCTATAGCTTCAAAGCTTCTCTTTAAAAAATATCTTTTGTTTTAAGGGGTGATATGTCGGGCTTTTCGTTTATTTTGGGTAATTTAGGTTGAACAGCTTTTTTTTTTATAGAGACTTCCCTTCTTCTTTGGGCTTTATTATTTTTATTTATGAAAATAATACACTTGTATGCACTTTTGATCTCCTTTTTTACGTTTGGGGCACTTAAACTGAAGCAGTCTTTTGTTACTGTCCATCTGATCTTTAAGCTGCCTTTTGTTTGCAGCACACCACTGCTTCATTTGAAAGAAACAGAATTGAAATGAAAGATTAGTGTGTGCACCTAAACCACTGCACATTATAAATATCATTCACTTTCACTACACACACCTATCCCCATAAATAAACGTTAGGTTTGCATCAGTTAGGCCTATCATCCCAAATTAGAAATGTCCTGCTGGTGGCCAATTTTACAGTTCTTTACTCTAAAACTGGCTATAAACTTGTAGATTTTTTAACAAACATTTGTACGAACACTCATACAAAAATTGTTTTTACATTTGAAGATAGTTGTTTGAACTTCAAAATTGAATGTGCTTTAAACATTCAATTTTATTCATGAAAACAATTTCCATCCTGCTTATACAAATTTTCTCATCTCTGTGGTGAAAAAAAACCATTACATTGACTCCACTAACAATTAGAAAATTAAACAACTGGACTACAAAAGAAAAATTTTGAACAAAATTCTACTATTGTATGGCCAGCTTAACCTCTGTAGAGTCTGGGATTAAAAGTACTATTTCTGTGTTTGCTGATGACACCAAGCTTTGTAGTTGAAACAAGTATCGTATTTTTCGCTCCATATGACGCACCTGACCATAAGACACACCTAGGATTTAGAGGAGGAAAACAAGCAAAAAAATATTCTGAACCAATGGACTGCAGACATTGTACAGGAAATGACCAGAGACTGCAGACATAGTACAGGAGATGACCAGAGACTGCAGACATAGTAAAGGAGATGACCAGAGACTGCAGACATAGTACAGGAAATGACCAGAGACTGCAGATGTACTACAGGAGATGACCAGAGACTGCAGACATAGTACAGGAGATGACCAGAGACTGCAGACATAGTACAGGAGATGACCAGAGACTGCAGATGTACTACAGGAGATGACCAGAGAATGCAGACATACTACAGGAGATGACCAGAGACTGCAGATATACTACAGGAGATGACCAGAGACTGCGGACATACCACAGGAGATGACCAGAGACTGCGGACATAGTACAGGAGATGACCAGAGACTGCAGACATACTACAGGAGATGACCAGAGACTGCGGACATACCACAGGAGATGACCAGAGACTGCGGACATAGTACAGGAGATGACCAGAGACTGTGGACATATTACAGGAGATGACCAGAGACTGCGGACATACTACAGGAGATGACCAGAGACTGCAGACATAGTACAGGAGATGACCAGAGACTGCAGACATACTACAGGAGATGACCAGAGACTGCAGACAGTACAGGAAATGACCAGAGACTGCGGATATACTACAGGAGATGACCAGAGACTGCGGACATAGTACAGGAGATGACCAGAGACTGCGGACATACTACAGGAGAAGACCAGAGACTGAAGACATAGTACAGGAGATGACCAGAGACTGCAGACATAGTACAGGAGATGACCAGAGACTGCGGAATAGTACAGGAGATGACCAGAGCAGGGGCGGACTGACAACTCATGGGGCCCCCGGGCAATAGGGGATCATGTGGCCCCTGTGTCCTTGCCCAAACTTAAAAAAGCCTATGAAAAAAGTACCAGGGGCATCTCATGGGGCCCCCTACTGACCCCGGGCCCTCGGGCAGTGCCCGAGTGTCCAAATTGTCAGTCCGCCCCTGGACCAGAGACTGCGGACATATTACAGGAGATGAACAGAGACTGCAGATGTACTACAGGAGATGACCAGAGACTGCAGACATAGTACAGGAGATGACCAGAGACTGTGGACATAGTACAGGAGATGACCAGAGACTGCAGACATACTACAGGAGATGACCAGAGACTACAGACATACTACAGGAAATGATGACCAGAGACCCGCAGATATAGTACAGGAAATGACGACCAGGGACCGCAGACATAGTACAGGAGGTGACCAGAGACTGCAGACATAGTACAGAAGATGACCAGAGACTGCAGACATACTACAGTAGATGACCAGAGACTGCAGACATAGTACAGGAGATGACCAGAGACTGCAGACATAGTACAGGAGATGACCAGAGACTGCAGACATAGTACAGGAGATGACCAGAGACTGCAGACATACTACAGTAGATGACCAGAGACTGCAGACAGTACAGAGAGATGACCAGAGACTGCAGACATACTACAGTAGATGACCAGAGACTGCAGACATAGTACAGTGACCAGAGACTGCAGACATAGTACAGGAGATGACCAGAGACTGCAGACATAGTACAGGGAATGAACAGAGACCTTTCAGCAATACACATATATACAGTTTGGTATAGCAGTCCACAGGCAGTCTATGGGGGGGGGGGGGACATACCTGGCCCACCCGGGCTCAGCATCCTCTCTGAGGGCGCGGCTCACAGCATACCCTGTCAGCTCTGCAGTGAAGTGCTTGGGGCCCCAATCTAAGGGCGGCGCGGGCTTAAAGCAAAGCTTTTCACCCAAAACTCCCCAAAAGGGGAAGTTCCGCTTTAATGCTTTGACCCCCCACTCCCCATTAAGGATTGGCACCATTGAGGAGCGGGTACCCGAATTTGAGAGGTACCCGCTCTCACTTCCACTGCGATTGCCTAGGCGATTGGAAGCGGAAGTTGTCCTCCCTCCCCGTAGTCTTCTGGGACACATGACAGGTCTCAGAAGACTACGGGGCCATTCTTTTCGCACATGCGCAGTGGGCACCCGGCTGTGAAGCCGCATGCTGTCACAGCTGGGTGCCCACACTAAAGATGCCGGCACCAAGGAGAGAAGATCGCCAGTAAAACCAGCCTTGGTGAGGAGACCGCTGGACCGAGGGACAGGTAAGTGGCTGTATTTTAAGTCAGCAGCTACAGTTTTTGTAGCTGCTGACTTTTTTTTTTCAGCTGGAACTCTGCTATAAGGGGAGCTGCTTTGGGCCCTGCCTGGCGCTGCTGAACTCCTGCTGACTCGGACTCCTCCTCTCTTCTGCCCACAGAAGAGCCGAGCGGCCGGCCCAGTACTCTAACAAGGTGGTGGCCACGGCGGTAGTCTGGCTAATATTCGCTCCATAAGACGCACAGACATTTCCCCCCATTTTTTGGGGGGGGGAAAAGTGCGTCTTATGGAGTGAAAAATATTTATAGGATGTCTCCTGCTTGTCTTACAGGCAGACCTGAATGCTTGTTTAATTGGGCAACCAGGAGTCCAAATGAGGTTTAATGTGGCCAAATGTACAGTTACGCACTTGAGGGCTAAAATCATGCATACATTCTAGGAGGAGTGCAAGTGGGGGAGTCAATGGTAGAGAAGGATCTGGATGTTCTATAGATCATAGATTTATTAAGAACATGCAATGTCAAGCTGCAGTTTCTGAAAGAAACAAAATACTTTCTTGAATTAAAATGTATGTGGTTCTGAGGAAAGGGACATTTAAAATGTATGTTAAACCCTAACAATGAACTTCTATCTGATCTCTTTTGGTGTGTAAATGTATCACTGAAAGAGTTATCTGTTTGATAAGATCAAAACTAATACCTTTTTGATCCTGCCAGAAATCTTGTGAGTTGATAACTTCATGTGCTTTCTGCCTGTGCTGGCTGATATCAGTTACAGTGTTCTGTTGTGTCTGAGGACTGCACAACCACCCCCTTTATATTATAGAAAGTAGAAGAGAGGTGGGGTTCCATAATTCTATCTTATTTCTGTTGCCCAGATACAGATGAATGTATGAGGACAGGAAGTACGTTACTGGCAGGATCATGGGGTGAAAATAAAGGGGAAAAAGAGCTTGAAAAAAGAAAACGTGATGCAGCCACCAAATCTAATCTATTATATTTCAGTTTATGTGTTTAGATTTGCTTTAAAGTGTTACTAAACCCACAACAGTAAAATCAGTCTGTATATGCAGTAAAACATGCTTGTTATACTCACTGTGGGACCTGAGGGGTTAATACTCTGCAATGTGTAAAAAGGCTGTTTGATCCTGTCTTCTCTGATCCTCCCCTATTTCCAGTGTCCCCCTCTTATCTTCTGATAAGACATATTGTGTGGAGACACTCTGCACATGCTCTGTTTGGTGTGTATTGCTAGAGATGTGTTGTTTTTTCTTGTTTGATCCTGTCTTCTCTGATCCTCCTCTTCTTCTAGTGTCCCCCTCTTATCTTCTGATAAGACATTGTGTGGAGACATTCTGCACCAAGGGCGGACTGACAACTAATGGGGCCCCCGGGCAATAGGGGATCATGGGGCCCCTGTGTCCTTGCCCAAACTCAAAAAAAACCTATGAAAAAGGTACCAGGGGCATCTCATGGGGCCCCCTACTGACCCTGGCCCTCGGGCAGTGCCAGAGTTTCCAAATGGTCAGTCCACCCCTGCTCTGCACATGCTCAGTTTGGTGTGTATTGCTAGAGAGGTTTTGATCCTGTCTTCCCTGATCCTCCCCTTCTTCCAGTGTCCCCCTCTTATCTTCTGATAAGACATATCGTGTGGAGACACTGCACATGCTCAGTTTGGTGTGTATTGCTAGAGAGGTTTTGATCCTGTCTTCACTGATCCTCCCCTTCTTCCATTGTCTCACTCTTATCCCCTGATAAGACATATCATGTGGAGACACTCTTTACATCCTCAGTTTGGTATGTATTGCTAGAGAGGTTTTGATTCTGTCTTCTCTGATCCTCCCCTTCTTCCAGTGTCCGCCTCTTATCCTCTGTTAAGACATATCATGTGGAGACACTCTGCACATGCTCAGTTTGCTATGTATTGATAGAGAGGTGTTTTTTTCCTCTTGGGAGATACATGTGATAAGCACAGGGCCAATCAGTACTGTACAAACAGAGGTCAGGGGTTCTGCATCCTCCTAGAGCAGAAAGAAAACTCCTCCCACAAGCTTTAACCAGTACTCTGCTGGACACTGATAGAAGTCACAAGACTGCTCTAACTGCTGATGAGAAAAGGTATTTAGCAGTTTATATTTACTAAAATAATTGAATTTCCATGTTCGGTGTACTGTGGGAGACCAGATAGAGTGAATGCAGGGCCCTGGGTTTAGTAACACTTTAAGACGAGCTCCCTGCATAATAAAAATACATTTTTACAACATGTTACATGCCTGTAGTTTTTTTAGTTTCTAGTGAGAATATATGACCTTTCACTACAATCAGTGACAGCTTAAGTTCAAACATACCTGGTGCTTATCAAGGGCTGTGCTGCGCTCACTTTGACCACGCATAGCGTTCTTCAGTATCCTCAAGTATCATGGGACTTTTGTCTTGTGCATTTGAGGACTCAGATGTGAGGGTTTGCTGCGTGATTAATGACTCTTCTGCCTTAAAGGGGGGGGGGGGGGGGTTACGGGAGCTAATGGTTTTTTCAATCTTAAATCAGGGCCTCCCTGGCATCCACTGCAAAGCTGGTTAGATATATATCCCTTGGCTCCTGACCAATGCTGGGGATTCCACAAAGGATTCTATCCTCAGATGCTGGCAGAGACTGAGCCAAGCGTGGTACTGATGTACCTCAAACAGCATCATTTTGTAAGGAATGCAGATGAAGAGGCTGCCAAACCTTTGCGAATATTAGCTTACAATTTAGAAAAAATGATTCTCTGCCGGCCTCAGCCATCTTCCTGGCCTGAGGGTGCATGTACATCATGAATATAATGGTATCCAGAACCTCTGTGCTATCATTGAAACCCATCAGCTGTACATGCAGCTTGCCCATAATACAAATGCTATAAAGGAAAGGATTTAAAGTAAACCCGTGCTGATATACTCTTATCCCCCAGCAGTGAATCTTCACCTTTCCTTTGCCCCCTCCTGCTTTCCAATTACAATCTTTACCACACTGCGATGGTTTGACTGCACTAGAGAAAAGAAACTGATCACAACCTGGCTACTGTGCAGGGCCAGATCTAGCCTAACTGATCTGGGGGTGCAGTAAAAAAAAAGTCAGGAGGCAGAATGTCAACACTGTGTGTGAGCCACTGACCGCCTGTCAAAGTGTCATGATCAGGGAAACACTAGTATGTATTAGGCTGTCATTACAATAGAATGATTAAACAGAACATGTGCCTCCTTATATCAGATGTGCCTATCAGAGTCCCCCTTAACATCAGGAGTCCTCATCAGGAATCCCCCTTTATATCGGGTTCCCATCCGCTTGCCCCCTTACATCAGGTGCAGGGGCGGACTGACCATTTGGAAACTCGGGCACTGCCCGAGGGCCCGGGATCAGTAGGGGGCCCCACGAGATGCCCCTGGTACCCTTTTCATAGGCTTTTTTGGGTTTGGGCAAGGACACAGGGGCCCCATGATCCCCTATTGCCTGGGGGCCCCATGAGTTGTCAGTCCGCCCCTGATCAGGTGTCCTCATCAGAGTGCTCCCTTACATCAAGGTCCCCATCAAAGGGTCCCCTTACATTGGTTATCCCCAACAAAGTGCCCTTACATCAGGGTCCCTGTCAGAGTGCCTCTTTACATTAGATGTTCCCATCAGAATGCTCCCTTACATCAGGGTCCTCATCAGAGTCCCCCTTTCATATGATCAGTTTTCCCCATCAGAGTACTCGCTTGCATCAGAAGTCTCCATCAGAGTGTCCCCTTACATACAGTATGACCAGTTACCACCCATCAGAGTGCCTCCTTACATCAACTGTTTGCATCCGATTGGCCTATGCACTCTCAGAGACCAGGGGGGCACAGCTAAAATCTTGGGGGGGGGGGGGGCACAGCCCACCCCAACATCGCCCTAGATTTGGCCCTGCATTTGTGTCTAACAGGGCTGTCTGGATTAGCAAAAAGGCTGAGACATATTACAGGGGTTTCTTTTTTGGTTCACACTTATTTTAGTTGGGTATTTAGCTTTTTTGCCTTCACCTATACTGATAGTTTTTCAGCAGCTGAGAATTGAGATTATATTTGTGGGAAAAAAAGGGTAAACTGGAGGTAAGAAGGCATGGTGTGTCATTGCATGTTTAGCTGCATATACCGTGTGTTATTGTTGTTTTTGTTGTTATTATTATCATTGAAATAAAAATGGGACAGATGTACTTTTTGTGCTACGTAGAAGTTACATTTTATACATTTTTTTAAAATTTGGGTAAGAGTGTCAATTTAAACTAGATCTAAACCATAAATGAAGGACATTTAGTTTGCTAAAGTACTGTATATTTTTTTCTTAAAAAAAAAAAAAATTCTATTTTTAGGATACATTCACTTTTTCAACAAAAGGTAAACAAATGTGCATTGATTATTTTTTCCTAAAGAGTCTGCAGGGCATTGCATTGCACCCGCGATCAGTAGATTGCAGGTGCAATCTCAAGTTCCTCGTAGGGGCAGACAGTTACCTGAAAGCAGGAAGATCATTGGACTATAAGAGCGCTCACCAGCGCCTTCGCAGTTTATTGAGAACTACAAGCCATCAGCCACAAAGGATGATGGTACTTGTAGGAATTCATTCACAGGAATTAATGACGTGGCTGTGTGGGAGAAGCGCCCACGCCCAATGTCACAAGGAGGAAAGATCGGGGAGGAGAGGCTGCAGATGCTGGAACATGTTCCACCCTAAAAATATATTCAGAAAGTGAACTTAACCTTTGTTGTAGCTCAGTGTTGCTGATCTCTTGCAGCCTCTTTCAGCCACTTTATGTCTACATGTACTTCATAAGCAACTGCATGTCACTGCTCAGGACCAGTTTGTTGATGGTGACAATGATTGAACATGCCTGCCCAAAGAGCATTGGCCATTTGTTTTCTCCACTGGGAGAGCCCACATGACAGGGTGCCAGCGCAGGAGAGCAGTTGACAGATAGGAACAATGCAGATTTAAAAGGATTTAAAACTGCTTTTGAAATGTATTGTTTTATTATATGTGAATGGGTTTAGATTTACAAACATTTATTGGACCAGGGGCATAAACAGTACGAAAACATATGGACCATCTTTAATATATATTGTATTCAAAAATCTATTGCCCTAGGACAGTGATGGCGAACCTTTTTGAGCCCGAGTGCCCAAACTGCAACCCAAAACCAACTTATTTCTTTCAAAGTGCCAACACTGCAATGAAACCTGAATATCGAGCTTTTGGTTTAGAAAAAACAACTCGTACAGTAGTGCAAACTAATTAACAGTACAGGGATGACCAGAGACTGCGGACAGTACAGGGATGACCAGAGACTGCAGACACAGTACAGGGATGACCAGAGACTGCAGACACGGTACAGGGATGACCAGAGACCAGACACAGTACAGGGACCAGAGACTGCGGACACAGTACAGGGATGACCAGAGACTGCGGACACAGTACAGGAGATGACCAGAGACTGCGGACATAGTACAGGAGATGACCAGAGACTGCGGACATAGTACAGGAGATGACCAGAGACTGCGGACACGGTACAGGGATGACCAGAGACTGCGGACACAGTACAGGAGATGACCAGAGACTGCGGACACGGTACAGGAGATGACCAGAGACTGCGGACACGGTACAGGGATGACCAGAGACTGCAGACACAGTACAGGGATGACCAGAGACTGCAGACATAGTACAGGGGATGACCAGAGACTGCAGACACAGTACAGGGATGACCAGAGACTGCGGACACAGTACAGGGATGACCAGAGACTGCGGACACAGTACAGGGATGACCAGAGACTGCGGACAAAGTACAGGGATGACCAGAGACTGCAGACACAGTACAGGAGATGACCAGAGACTACGGACACAGTACAGGAGATGACCAGAGACTGCAGACACAGTACAGGAGATGACCAGAGACTGCAGACACAGTATAGGAGATGACCAGAGACTGCGGACAGTACAGGGGATGACCAGAGACTGTGGACAGCACAGGGATGATCAGAGACTGCGGACAGTACAGGGATGACCAGAGACTGCGGACAGTACAGGGATGACCAGAGACTGCGGACAGTACAGGAGATGACCAGAGACTGCGGAAAGCACAGGGATGACCAGAGACACAGTACAGATGACTGCTGACCTTTGGGGAGGGAGGGGGAGCGGGTACCTGAATTTGACAGGTACCCGCTCTTACTTCCGCGGAGTTGTCCTTTGATCTTACCTGTTCCTTTATCCAGCCGCGCGCTGTCTTCCCGGCTTCTGTAGTGTGGGCGCTCGTCGGACAGCCGGATGCCCAGTGCGCATGCGCAAGAAGCGCTGCGCTTTGTGATTGGTCCGGCGGCTTCTGGGATCTGTCATGTGTCCCAGGTACCACCTTACCATTCACAAAGAGCACTGCATCTTGCGCATGCGCACTTGGGACCCGGCTGTCACGCACACTACAGAAGCCGGGAAGACAGCGCGCCGCTGGATAGAGGGACAGGTACGGTCCCACTGCAGAGCTGAGCGGCCGGCCCGGTATTCTGACACGGGTGGCGGTGGAAATACCGGACCGGCCGCTCTATATTCGCTCCATAAGACACACTGACATTTTCCCCCCTTTTTTGGGGGAAAAAAAGTGCGTCTTATGGAGCGAAAAATACGGTATTCTCCTGGCGTGCCCACAGATAAGGCTCGGCGTGCCGGCTGTGGCACGCGTGCCACAGGTTCACCATCACTGCCCTAGGACAAAAGAGAGAAAATCTGGATGGCCAATAACAATAAAACAGTAAACAAACCCCACATTATGCAGCAAAATATAACCAGCTTTATTATATACTGTATAGTATTTAAAAAAAAAATAGAATGCCAATAACAATTCTTAAAAAAGAAATCAACAAGTGCTACAAGGCTAGACACAAAACTATTTTTTTTTCATTGATTTAATGAGTTTTGGGCTTTGTAGTTTTTTTTTTTTGTTTCTGTTTTCATTTGGAGAACTTGTTATTGATGTTCAGAGAGTATCCTTTTGTCATGGGGCATTATCATTTTGAATGTTGTGCCTTAAAGTATTACTAAACCCATAACAGTAAAATCAGCCTTCATATGCAGTAAAGCACGCTTGTTGTACTCACTGTGGAACCTAAGGGGTTAATCCTTCGCACTGTCTAAAAAGGATGCTTGATACTGTCTTTGTCGTTTGATCCTCCCCTTCTTTTACTGTCCCCAATCCACCTTCTCATAGAACAGAGCATAGGGGAAAGCTGTACAGTACATGCTCAGTTTGGTATGTATTGCTAGAGAGTTGTTTTTTTATTGGGAGAGTGCATGTGATCAGCACAGGGCCAATCAGCACTGTCCAGACAGAGGGTAAGGGGTTCTGCAGCCTCAAAGGACAATCAGGGGAGAATGAAAACTCCTCCTACAAGCTTTAACCAGTGCTCTACCGGATAGAAGTCACAAGACTGTTCTAACTGCTGATGAGAAAAGGTATTAGGCAGTTTATATTTACTAAAATAATTTCATTTCCATGTTCTGTGTACTGTGGGAGACCACATATAGTGAATGCAGGGTTCCTGGTTTACTTTAAGGTATTTGAATGTGATTGACATTAATCAAAAGGGTTAGGTTGTTCTTCCAGTAATTTATGGTTTTTGCATATTATAACATATCTTTTTGTTTCCCAACCAGATACTCGAAGAACAGATGAAACTGGAATGCAAGTGCCATGGTGTTTCAGGCTCCTGCACCACAAAGACCTGCTGGAACACTTTGCCTAAATTTCGGGACATCGGCTTCATTTTAAAAGAGAAGTACAACGATGCAGTGCATGTGGAAGTGGTTCGAGCCAACCGGCTGCGCCAGCCCACCTTCCTCAAGATCAAAAAAATCAAAAACTACCAAAAGCCCATGGAGACAGACCTGGTCTACATTGAGCGATCTCCATAACTACTGCGAAGAAGATAGCGCCACCGGTAGTGTGGGGACTCAAGGGCGGCTGTGTAACCGTACCTCTCCACATGTGGACGGCTGCGATCTTATGTGTTGCGGCAGAGGGTACAATACCCACCAGTACACCAAAGTTTGGCAGTGCAACTGTAAATTTCACTGGTGCTGTTTCGTCAAGTGCAACACGTGCAGTGAAAGGACAGAGGTTTTCACCTGCAAGTAATGCAACAACCAGGAAACCTATAGCAGGACCACTGTGGCCCATTTTGCACACTTGATTTTCTTTTTCTTAAGAAAATTATACCCTTACAGGCAGGGAGGGGGAAACATTTCTTTCGTTAAGCATTGGCTGTTCTGTCGGTAGAATGGCACCTTTACATGCTGGAGGGTTTTCGTGTAGTTATTTATAAATTGTACGTCAAGCAGAGGAGAATAAAAAAATATCCGTACACGAGGAGGGTTGTAGGACTACAAAAGAGGGACCAATCGAACAAAACTATTTTCAATAGTCTCAGCTATTGGATAGAACTACAGTTTGTTTCACCTGCCAGTCACACTGGAATAACTGGACATTAAAAAAAGAAAATTATTATTATTAATTTATGTTTTAATAGTATGAACAAATTCAGAGCACTAACGGGTAGTTTGTGTCTTAATTCTCTACTAAATGTTAAGCATAGAGATGTCTGACTTACCATAAATCTTGTATATGTTGTTTTTCTAACTATTTTCCATGCTACTGAGCTCTCGATAAAAGGGGTCTTAAACTTTGAGTTCGATTCTTTTTTTTTTTTTTTTTTTAATGGAGCAGATTTAGACAATTGGTCTTGTTCAAGCGTTGCGCTAATAAACAGGGGTTGTGTGACAGCAAAGTGATTCGATTTTTAAAATAGTTTTGCTTTCACAACACTGTTCAGAGGAGAAGTCAATTGTTGGAGGTCTTTGTGACCTTTTTTTATCAGTAAACCCTTTTTTTTTTTTCTTTTTTTTTTTTCAACACAGATCTGACTGCTGTATAGTTTATTATGAGCCCATGCACACATCTACATTAAAATCAGTAAACTTGCACTGTGAAAAAATCTGCAAAGAGAAAAATAGAAAAATCATCATCCAGTGTCAGTAATTTATGTATGTACCCAAGTAAACGTTTGTGATAATGTTTACAGGTGTGTAACATGCAGTGCAAATGCACTCTATTGGAGCTGCCTACATCCTAGCAACAGAAGCATGCTGGGTGGCTTTATTGACAAGGCACCTGCGCCCTAGCAACCAAAGGATACTAAGCAGATTCCCTGAGAATTCTTCTGCATCCTGCCAACCAAAATACTCTAAGAATTCATGTGTGTCCACGCAACTGAAGGATGTTAGGCAGCTTTTTTGAGAAGCCACCTATGTTCTAGCAACAGGGCTGTGTATGCTGTATTGCTGTATATATGTAAACGATCACTGAGAAGCCGCCTGCATCCTAGCAACAGGGCCACGTATGCTGTAATGCTGTATGTATGTTAATGTTGATCAAGCATTACATACATAAAATGCCAACTTCTGCCAGCGAGATCCTACATATTAATTGCCATATTATCATATGTGCATGTGTTCTGAGGGAAATGCTAAAAAAGTATCCACAATGAGCAGAACTCAAGATGGTCACCAACCACCAACATAAACAAATTCTGAGCAGGGAAAGGGGCTGAGTTAGGATGAAAGATAACATGTAAACCTGTATGCTGGAATACTTTGGGCCTTGAAACTTGATTCACTCTTGTTGTGCACATTTTATGACTTTCTGTGGTTTAGAGCTTTGACCCACCTTTTCCTGCTTCCTTCCTCTTCTTATTGGCCCAAAAATTATGATAGGTGACCTCATAGGCCAATTGGGAGAGATGGAAAACATCAGTGGGAAAGGATCTGCTCCTACCAAGAGGGGCTGACAGATAATTTAACCACTTTCCCTCCAGAGGATTTACCCCCCTTCCTGACCAGGACATTTTTTGCGATAATTCATTACTTTAACTGACAATTGTGCTGTCATCCAACGCTCTACATAAAGTAAATTTATGTCATTCTTTCCCACAAATAGAGCTTTCTTTTGTGGTATTTGATTACCTCTGCATAAACATAAAAAGACCGACAATTTTGAAAAAACTCTATTTTTGACTTTTTGCTATAAAACATAACCAATAAAAATTTTAAAAAAATCTAATTTCTTCACAAATGTAGCCCAAAATGTATTCTGCTACATTTCTTTGCTAAGAAAATCCCAATAAATGTATATTAATTGGTTTACATGAAAGTTATAGCATCTACAAATGACAGTATGTGTATATATATATATATATATATACATACATATATACAGGCGTACCTCAGTTTACGAATTTAATGTGTTCTCTGGGACGTTTTGTATTGCAAACAATTTGTAAACCAAAACAAACTGAAAACCAATTAATCCATTCCGAAGGTCAGAAAAAAGTTTAAGAAAAAGTATTTTATCTGTTCAAAACTCTTCATGAAGGCCTAAATACTGTACAGGGACATGATTAAAAATTTCCCGAATGGCTCCAAAACCGCTCCAACACCTCCACACTCGACGCCACGTGCTACCCACAGACTCCACCATGAATGGGGCCGGCACTTTAAACCTCCCAGGTGCAATTCATCCTGGGGAAACTTGCTTCGTATTGCGAAAAAAAATTGTAAATGCATTGAAAACCTATTAATCCCTTCCAGAGGTCAGAAAAAAGTGAAAAAAAGGTCTTACCTATTTAAAACTCTTTATAAAATGCAATTTAAAGGCACGGGGCCAGCGCTATAAACCTTCCAGGCGTAATGCATCCTGGGGAAACTTGCTTCATATTGCGAAACAAAATTGTAAATCGAGGCATTATTTTCAGTGGATTTTCATTCGTAAACCGAAAATTACGTTAACCGAGGCGTTCGTAGACTGAGGTATGCCTGTATATATAATGGAGTGGGTAGGGCAGCGTGCGCACACCTCCTACCCAGAAATGCAAATCGCGTAAATATACGTGATGTTGCGCAGCCGTGGTGCCCTATAGCAGTACTTCTACTATAGGGCAGAGGGCAAGTGGTTTTAATATCAAAAGCATCCATGTTTCAGGGCTCCTATGGAACTGTATGATATATATAAGTATGTATTTGGATAACTTATAAACTGCTGCCTATTTGGCACTGCCAAGGCAATGATAAGGTTACTTTAAATAAACCTTTAGGATGTACACAAAGCTCAAACAATTACATTTTGGATGGCATAAGAAAGGATTAAAATGCCTATATGGTTATTTTGTATGCAGTCTGTGTCCTACTGGGGAGATTTCTCTTCACTTCCTGTCCTGTAGACACTATAGTAAATGAGAGAAAATCTTTCCACAGTGAAGGAAATTCCCTTTTAGATAGTTGTCATAGCAACCGTTATTCTCATTGGATTATTTTTCCTCTGCTTTGGGGACAACTCAAAATGTTTGATCCCCCCGCCCTCTTCTGTCTTAGTAACAATGGCCAACAGGACACATAGAGAGGGTAGATCTCCCCATAGGGATACAAACAGCAATAAAAAATTGACAGTGGGTCTAATCCTTCCACACTCTAAAACTTGGAAAAAAAAAAGTTTTATTTTTCATACACTTTAATTGAGTTCAGTTTTTTTTATAGTAAAAAAGAAAACTGCCTTTTCTTACTCCATAATCTCCGTAGCTCTTGTTGTAGCACGCGCACTCACCTGAAATATTGACATTTTTGGGCAGGTTATGTGAGCAGAGACAGGACTCAGTGCTGAAGTATTTGTATAAGCTGGGGGAAGGGGCTACATATTTCATATTCTCTGTGTAACTTGGCGGGTGACAACTGACATCTTTAGTGAAAGGTGCTGAGAGCTGTAGATTTAAAGCGCTGGTAATGTGCACTGAGCACTGGACGGGAGACAGCCCGGATAAATCTCTTCAAACCGACTTGATCTGAAATAGCCTTAGGTCACCTGACATCCTCTGACCAATGAAGAACTACAAACCATAGAATGCCATAGAATGTCAGTTCTCAGTGCTCTGGTCTTCTCCCACAAACCATGAAAAAAAAAACAATGGAAGGTAAATTAGCACCTACTAGAGAAGATATGCATCTTGCATGGACATTGGATTGTAAGCCTTTTTGGCAGGGCATAGTGTGAAGTAGTCTATGCAGTATGTGATGTAAAGATGTTTTATGACTGCAGGAAATAGGTACATACATTATATGGGCAAACATTTGTGGACATCTAAGTTTTATGGATATCTCTTTCCAAAACTATAGGCAATAATATGGAGCTGCCACCCATCCTTTACAGTTCTAACAGCCTCTGCTCTTCCAAGAAGGCTTTCCATGAGACTTCATTCCTCTGCTATCTGTATGAATCACTTCTGACAAGTTTTCTGACACCAAGAGAAAAATGGTGACAGGGAGGAAACTCCAGAAAAGCTGTGTGTCAGGGGGTGTGTTTCTTCCCTCCAATCAGCTCTCAGAGCTCTCCCCTCTGAACTCTGCAGTTTGTAATTTCAGCTCTCTACTTTAAGCCTTTGGGCATTTGTAGCTTTGAGGCTAGCACTGTGTCTTTGCAATGCTGTGGTTTTGGGTTCACTCTCTACCTGTAGGTTCTCCTTGTGTTTGTGCTACTTTCCTTCCAGTCTCTTCCTATAATCCAAAATATAGTTATAGGTTAACTGGCTTCTCACTAAGCTTGTGTGTATCTAAGCCCAAATAACATGTATAGGACGCACGCTTGAAGTATACGCCGAATTAGCCACAAACTTAGGTGGGCCAAGCGATCCTTATCTGCTGCCTGTCAATCTCTTCGGCTCCATCTCTCCGGATCACAGGCTGCTTACAAAAATACCAAACCTTCAACAGGCTACCTTTTTTTTACCTGTTAACCCTTGGTGGAATGTAGCTTTGTTTTCTGATCTCATATAGAAACAGCAGATTTTGAAAAAACATCTAGCGAGTTATCTCAGGTGGCCCAAAGCTCTCCTCAACTTAATCCCCCTTGCTACAGCAGACGGCCAGCCTATCCCAAAGATATCATCCGAGACAGGCCAGCCTAGGAATGAGGTACCGTGCTGTGAGCTGATGGGACAGGCTATGGCCTTGACTGCTCCTGACAGGAAAGAATGAGGAAGTTGATCCATTTTTCATCCTGATAGGCAGTAAAGCATTGGCTTCAGGTTACAGGTT